AGATAAATTAGATGAAACTAGGTAGTCTTAGTACATCTATAGTCTGAGTCTCATTCTTGTAAACAATTTGTAAACTTGACCTATGGTCAAAGATTCTCCTTGTGGATTCTTAATACAAATTATAATAAAGATAAAGGCAAAACCTCACTTTAAAAAAAAAAAAAAATTATTAATTAATAATAATGCTTATTAATTATTACATAATCATTATTAATAATTATTATTAATAATAATTATTAATTATTAATAATTATTAATTATTAATTATTAATAATTATTATTAATTATTATTAATTATTAATTAATAATAATAATTAATTAATAATAATAATCATTAATAATTACAAATACAGATTACAAATATAAATACGAATACAGATTACAAATGCGGATCATCAAATTACGTGCTATATCACGTTCTTTATATACATACTAAATACGATACTAAATACTAAATACGATACTAACTACTAAAACTAACTAAAACTAAAAAATTTGTATATTACGCTTTGTGCATGACGCTTATGCAAGAATTAAAAGTCAGTTAGACAGATTAAAAAAAAATTAATTTACCGTTTACATCCCGCTTACACGGGATGTAAACAGTAAATATCGGATTATTAATTCTTGCATAGCGTCACGCATAGAGATGGGCAAGGTAATTACTTATTACGTAAAAAATCAAATCACATTATGCGACAATTTACTAATAATATATACTTACAACTAATAACATGCTAAATTGGCGCATAGTGTGATTTAACTTTTTACGTAATAAGTAATTACCTTGCCCATCTCTAGTCACGCACAAAGCGTAATATACCTTTTCAACAACAACGTTGTTGTTGATAGGTACCTGTTATGGGTGTCAAAAATGGTTGTATTTTGGTACTATTAAAAAGGTTTATTGTGCAGCCAACTTCTATATAATTTTGGTGTTTTTTTTTTTAAACTAAACTTTACTAATATACAAAATTTTGTTAGTGAAAACCATCGCCATTTAAAAATACAATTCTTCAATTTAGATCTTCGCTATATGTCTTTGGCATTATAGTGATAAAAAATTAAAGTAGCTACTGTCACCATCGTATGGAAGAGCTTTCGATAACCATGCCGAGTTTAACTCTGATGGTTTGCATAGGAGAAGATGCGGGAACCTGATGATAAGATAGGGACTCGTATTTTATGGTTATTAGGAATTTATTATATAAAAGAATGTATATTTATCCTTTATTTAAAGACAATTTCAGAGAGCATATATTGGATGATGAACTAAGGGCGAGCGCACACTTTTATATACATTCAAATTTCTCATGATGTCAACGCTAAGATTATAGCGTCTACGCTATATTTTGGTTGTTAACATTGAGATCTGGATGTTAATATCGTAGACTGAGCGTCTACGTGTGTATACGCAGCTACATGCATTAAGCCGCCAAGAATATAGAATAATTCCTAACATTATTACGGTAATATTCACTGGTTAAAAAAAATCAAATCTTAGCTAAATAATATCTTGTAGTATATAGTGCAAATAATAACTTATTCGTAATAAAAATATCCTGATCCGTTGGGTATTAGCGGAAACGAAGTTTCCGCTTGTACACATACGGTCAGGGTATTTTGCTAAATACCCAGTGATCTTGATATAGTGATCGGGTACTAGGTAATATACATAGTTTAATATATTTACTAGTAAATATATTAAAAAAAATACGTATATATATTACCAAGTAAATAAGTTATTATTTGCACTATATATCACCAGATATTATTTAGTTAAAATTTAATTGTTTTTAACCGGTGATTAACATAACAACAACTATGACGATATAATTATGGAAGGTGAGTAACAACTTAAGGAATAACAAACACAGACGAGTCATGAGATAAAATTAATAGTTACACTACAGTATTGATAATGATGAAAATTTCTTTATTATTTATTAATTATGGAATGCAGTGGGAGTACTCTTAAAAATAAAAATCGATTCTGCAATCGATTCCACAATTAGACATCAATTGCGTAAGAACAGAATTTTGAAAAAAGCGATAATGTTAGGGATGTTAACTAGTTAGGAAAAAACTACACTAACTCAGTTCTGTTATCGTCAGAATCAAAATTGATTGAACTGGTCGGTTTATCACGTCTGTTAACATGTCATAAAACTTTAAATACTATATAGGTAACTTTAATTACCACAACTATTACCATTACGTATGAGTTATCTTTTATTTTATCCAATCAAAACACTTGCTGATTAGCCAAAGTAGTTTATATACTTTTTTATAAATGGTTTTATGCAACTATATAGTTAAACCTAGTTTATGTAGTTAACTGCCAGCTTGTAACTGATATAGTTAATTTTTAACTAGTTAACATTCTAGATAATGTCACTTAATATATATTTCACCTAATTATATATTTTGTAAATTAGCACGCTGCGGACATTAACACCGTGTGCGTACCTAGTAGTTAGAATAGAAATTTAAAAAATAGTATTAAGGGGTTTCAGAATTAACTTATTCTGAAAGTAAGTGGGTGCTTAAAGATTCGTATTTGCGTTTCTAACTTTCAAAGTCAGAAAATAGCAAAAAATTCCAAATTTTTCGCGTTCGATGACATTATTGCTATGATAAAAATAGAAGTTACATATCACTTACTTTGAAATAAATATTTCATATACTTAATTCAAAACCAAATTTATAATTATAACTAATGACAAAATTGCTAATAGTATTATGATATACTATAACAAAATTAAATGGCATATATTATAAAAAAAGTATAAATATTAAAGCAAACAATTAAGAAGTAAATCGCAGCTAAAGGATATAAAAATAGCAAATTTAATAGTAGAATTAATATAGTTTTCTATAGAGTTGGAACGCAGCTAGTATATAATGAAAAGTTTCTTTATGGTAAGTAAACCTTCTAACTAGGGATAGACAAGTTCCAACCCTAAGAAGACAGATCTATTAATGTTTTTCAGTCCAGTCCAAAATAAAGGATTTATATAACATATTTTTAATTAGCTATTCATGAGGACCAATTAACCATAAGACTGGTTAAAAGGCTGGGCCGAGGACCAGTTAACAATAAGACTTGTTAAAAGACTGGTCCTTATTCGATCTTTTCAGGGTTGATTCATTCCTATTTCTAACAAAGATTATAGGGCAAGCTATTCCGGTTCTAGTAGTGATAGAATTTTTAAAATTGGTTTAGTAGATCATGAGTTATTAGATTTTTTTTCATGACTACGTGATTTTTACATATTATCAGAAACTTTCGGCATTCCAACATTATATGAAAGCAATAGAGATTCACCGCCAATTTTTACTATGAACTTTATACCCTTCAATTGTGATCTACCACTTAATAAAAACATATGGTTGTTTTCACCTAAAGAATATACACAATCATTTTAAATTGTATAAGCTTAAATTGTAACTTTTAATACTATCATATAATCAATAAAAGTTATAGTTTAAATAAAGATTAAGTAGTTAACCTTATTTAAATATTTTGGCTACAAAATATAGTTTTATTATTGAGCAATAAATATGAAAATCAAATATAAATATGGTTTTTTATAGTACCCTATTATATAAATACAATTTCAAAGTAATGTACAGATTAAATTATATATTTAGTTACATTATAGCAAAATTTTTACCAATTAATTCAAATAAAGCATATCTTTTAAAAGCTCATAAGTTTATATTTTCGTATTATATATAAAAAAACCTACATTTAAAGATATCTTAACAAAAAAAGTGCCTAATATTTGTTAAATTTTATAATTACCAAATATTTAAATAATTCATCCTTACTGTTAGACATAAAAAAAAAAAGAACAAGAAAACAGTAATTTTTATTAATATCATATTCTTAAATAATAAATGCATAATAAATTTAAATTTTCCGTTTTATTAATGAGTGAGGTGTAATGGTAAAAAATTTGTATTATGAGTCAGAACAGGTTGATAATAATGATCGACATTTTCATAAACGTTAAAATGAGAATCGACAGGGTGATGAACGTTAAATTGAGGACCATAGGCATCCAGTACCATGGATGATGTGAAATCAATCTCTGAGAAGTCTATTATGAAATAAATAGATTTATAAATTAATGCATGAATATGAAGATTTTATATACGTTTAATAAATCCCTTTCCTACAATACCACTTGCATAACTTTCCTCAGTCTGACCATGAAGATTTGAAAATTTAAATATGTCATCTGCGGAGTAAGTTGGCATTACATAAGTTGGATTAAGAGTTTTATAGGAGCTAATCATTGCATCTAATAGAGCTAACATAACGTTTAGTACTAAAGAAAATTTAAAGCAATATATTAATAAAATAGAACCTTACCAGAGGTGATTTCTATTTTATGGTTACAATTGTAATGACGAAGGTAGGATTTTTGACTAATCGCATCCATGACTATATCATACTTTGAAGAAACACTTTCAGGAGGATCTAATTGATAAAAATGATTAATTCTAAATGTTATGTCAAATATATCAAGATAAACTTCAGCACCTTAATATAAATTACCCTCTGAAATAACTTTGCAATGGTTGCACTGTGAAAACTGATTTTTTTTATCCTTATTTTTTTTATAACAAGCGGTACACTGGAATATACAACCGCTCTTTTTTTGGCACCTATCACATTTAAAAAGTCCGGGAACACCACCTTTACATAATTTTTTTCCTTTCACACAACTTATACATCTGGTTGATAATGTAGGTTTAACTTCTGATGGTTGAACATCGTATACCATGTTATTCCCGAAATCGTATGCTTCATTTAATCCGGATACCTACGTATTAATTTGCTTGAGTATTATAAAATTGCTAAAATAAATTGTTGGGTGAGTATTAACCTTTAAATCAAAGTTAATTGTATTTGGCAGTTGTGAAGTAGGCGTGATGTGGATCTTTGGTTTTGGACCGCGTTTTTTACGGTATGGATCCACTATACATTTCAATTGACGTTTTTCACATTCATTACATCCAACTTTGGAATTGAAGTTAGTGCATTTTATTTTTGCTCTTCTACATTGAATGCAAGCAGAAAGAGAGCGAGTTCCTTTAGGTTTCATGATTAATCATTACCACGCGATATCAAAAGATAATACGTAGCATATATATGTAGATAAACATTATCTATTTACTGTTACATTGTACGTAATGATTATGTAACGTGAGTGATAGCGTGATCCTTTAATTGCCTATTTAGTATTTATATTAATCACTTGACGTTGATTTTCAATTTAGGCATCTATTTCTGTAGGTGTTCCGCAAAACTGAACCGAGGACCCGAAACCGATCCGGAACCGACCCAGGCTCGGGTCCTGTACGTGTTTGAAATTCTATCCGTAACTAAATAATAAAATTATATGCGGAGTCCACGTATGTACTTCTCGGACCTTATCCGATTTTTGCGGTTCTGATCAAACAGCAGAGACCGTCAATGTTACACATATATTAAAACTGGTGAGGGATTATATCCATCACAATTGAATCCAACATAAATAATTTAATTTGCGATTGATCACAGGCGAGAGGGATTCATTTTGGATCGGGCACTGTCTCTGTGTATTCTGATCAGGATCTTAAAAAACCCGTTCGGGACCGTCTGTGAGGAATTATTCTAATGCTAACCCTAATTATCTCATATTACTAGGTTAATGTGTAGCATTGTGGCAAACCATTCATTTTTGATAATCTAAACATTTTTGATGCATCAGTGTAATATTTCTAATGAAATAATCAAGAATGTAACTTGTGATGCATCAAAAACAGAACATTCGTATCACGATGACTAAACATTAAATGTCCTCCCATACGCTCCGGACAATTAATAATACCCAAATGTTAATGTACACATTGAAACGTAAGTCTGAAAATGTTACACCAAAAAAAGGAATATTGATTCATAATTAAAAATAGTTAACACCTAATTTTACACATGAATGTCGCCAAGGAGTCTAAATAAATAGGCTAACAAATAAATATTATTCTATATTTAGATTCCCTGGTTTTCATTTTGCGATACTTAATTACTATCTTTTTATAATTTTTAAACTAATGAAAGTGTACATATACTTGGACATTTTTAGATTTAGACGTTGGACATGACTAAAAAATGCCTTAAACATCAAAAAATGTACAACACTGTTTAGTACACACATATCTAAATAAATTCTTTTTTTGGGTTGTATCAACATGGTATTACTGTGTTTCATCTCTAAAAATCTTATCAAGAATATTGAATTAACTTATTTTGAAAGTGGAAGCTTTAATATTCTTATTCGTGTTTTTAATTTCAAATACAGAAAATAATGTAGATGTTCTAAAAAATATATAACCTTTTCGGTTTGGCCATTATAAAATAGAATTAATGGATTGAAATAAATAGATCATCTATTTTATTCAAAACCAGAAGCCCAGTAATTAATTCAGCAGTTCCGAAACTCTCATTATAGTTTTATTGTAAAATTAATTACGATGGTGATGAAAAAAATGCTACCCGGGTTATCCGACGGGTAAACCCGTGGGTAGTGATGCAAATGGCTGGCTTCAGTTCGGCTACAGATCAATTATAATGGAACTGGGCTGCTTTTTAGCCAATCATTCTTTAGCCGAGCCGACAAGAGCTGCTGCTCCAATTTGATTACTGTTATCATTATACATAAAAGTATTTATTTCAATTATTTTAGAAAAAATATATGTTAGATTCATATAAATATCTTTATAATTTATAATTTGCAAGCATGTATAACCTAGTATAAGAATACATCTATATTACTAAAATTTTAATTTCTGTCTGTGCGTTTTAAATGATTTGATTGGTTAGATTTATTTAAGATCAGTCATGTGCTATAAACAACTAAACATGTTTGGTTTTAAAAAAAATATATATATATTATACGTATATATTCTATTATATTATAAGCATGGACATAAGGACGTGTCAGTCTACTAGTAATTAAAAAAAAATTAGAAGCATTTTTTGACAGAAAAAATGAATATTTTTTTTTAAAAAAAATCTTAAAAAAATATTTTTAAAAAAATATTTTAAAAAATAAAATAAAGTATATTTATAAAAAATCAATCTTTTTGAAATTTAATATCATGTTCCAATCATGTGCCAGTACACATTAATGCCTGTATACTTCTTTTAGAAATATATATATTTAGTTCAGATGGTATTACCTGCCTTCATAAATATTTGTTTAGAAGGTATTGATGTTACCTGAATAGCAAGAAAATCTTTTGCCATTTGTGATATGCTTGAAAAGTAAAAATTGTCAAGTTTCCACTATTCTAAAGAATTAATGCTTATAGGTAAAGTAATCTTATTTAAATATTAAAAAAATTTATCTGTTGAAGTGTTTAAAATATTAAGTTAACATCAGTTTTGAGCTTCTTGTTCTATATATGTTATTGAATTTGATATTTTTCTAGAATTTGAAACCAGATTAGTAGATGAATTATTTAATTAAAACTTTGAATAATTATAAAAAACCTGATTAAAATAATTCTAATTTTCTGAAATATTTATATTAACTAACACTAACTCAAGTTTAATTCAAGATCAAGAATCAAAATTATAAAAACTGTTTCATCATAAATATAAACTATATATTGATTAAACTTTTTTATTATTTGTGTTGTACAGTTTTAAGAAATTAAAAACTTGATAAATCTTGAATATATAATATAATAACATTAATCATATTATTTATTAATAAAGCAAAAAGGCCTAATATTACATATATACTACCTGAAAGTATATTTGTAATTTCATAAAACAGTTACAAAATCTGAGTTACAACTAAAAGATCTAAATATTTTTGTTAAATAAATCTATAATAAGCAAGATTACTATACTATAAATATAAATATATAAACTAATAACATAAGGTAGGTACTATTCTATCATATTGATATATTTTATAAAATTTTTTGAACTATTTTGTATTTACTAACTGACTATTTAATTTTTCTAAAATTTTGTATAATTATAATATTTTTTACAAATTGATATATTTTTTATTAATATTTTAATTGATATTATTTCTGTTATAATAATAAGATGTAAAATATATGCAAGACAATAACATAAATAAAAATAATAATTTTACATAGTTAAGTGCATTTTTAATAAATAAATTGCTAAAATAACATTAAATTTGCTATTTGTAATTATACAAAATATCTTTGTATTAATATTAAAAGTTTTTAAAATAAATTTTAATTGTGTTTTAATCTTTTTATCTGTATATAAATATAGTAGTAAATATATATTAACTAATATCTTTTTAAGGTTTTAATTATTGTTAATCTAGTATGCAGTAACTTCAAAAAAGAATAAATTTATATAAAAGATCCAAGGATCTAATATTATTAAAATCAGATTAAAAATTTTTTTTAAAAAAATTTGAATATAATTTCTTATTGAAATAAAAGAATTATATACAATTAATTTAATAGTTTTATATAAAAATAAGTTAAGACTTATATTAAAAAACTATAACAAAGCAATTAATACTTTGTTTCTAAAAATTAAAAAAAATATAATGTCTAAAACTATCTACTAGCTAATAAAATATTAAACTGTAATTTTAATTGTTTATTAAACTTTGTGTTAAAACTGTTTATATAAATGTAAATATTTTAATTGTATTTTATTGTAAATATTGTATATTAAGATGTATCTGTTATTATTTTTTTATTAAATGAATATTTGCAAATAATGCAAATAACTAAAGAACTATTATTTATTTTTTTGTAAAATATAATATAACTACAAATGGTTTTTTTTATTTTTAATAGCTAAAAAAGAGTAGTAATATCTGTTCTCAAACTAGTTATATTATTATTAGATATATATTATAAAGAGTCTTAAGAATAGATGCCAATTACCTAACTCTTTTTATAAATCTCTAAAACTAATTTTTCTTTATTAAATATTATATCTTTTTTTAATATTTTATTAAACTAATAGTCTTTAATCTTCTAATTAAAGTTTTTTTTACAAGTTTTTATTTTAAAAACAATATAAGCTTATTTATATTCAATCTTTTTTTTTTTAACTTTAGCAGTTATGCTAGTACTTTATTAGGATTTCTGAAACTATACAGATTATATAGAATCTTTCTGATATATAAGTCTAATATTACTCAGCTATTTAAATAATACCTAAAAATATAACTTGCTGCATTATTCCAGTTAGAGATAGACTGCTTGTCTGACTGTTATTCTATAATAGGACATCGCCAATCTGATAACATCTTTTTATAGAGAAGCAAAAAACAAAAAAATTTTTTTATATAAAAAAACAAAACAGAGGTATAGGAGTAAATGATAAAAGATCCAAATTAAAAAATAAAAGAAGAAAGAGAATAAATGAGAAAAAAGAAAATGTGTAAAACTTGCAATTTACAAATATCAGATGATTACAATTATAAGTCTGTATTGGGCCTTAAAAATTATAAACTATACTAAATAAAAATAACTCTACTATTTTTCTATTTACTTAGATTATTTAACAAAAAACTATGTAGAAAAGAAAAAATCTTCAACTTAATTATAGAGGGTTGGTATAGAGCACTAGTTAGTCCAGAGGCAATATTTTCAGGTTTTTAGTATTTTGAGGCATGTGTATAGTTATGTTTGTATTACTGTATTGTTTCTGATCTATGGTATCAATAAACCTGTTTAGGAAGTAAACACTGTTGACTGTTTTGGTAGTTTTATATATTAATCTTTAGAAGATAGTAAACTAAATCATTTACTTTTACAAAATTTTCTCAAAGCAAAATAAAGGTAAGAGGTGAACTAACTTTGTAGCTTTTGTGGATTTTTCATCTCTATAGGTATTCCTTGTAGGTATTACAGTTGTATAGAACTAATATATCCAACTTTGGCTTTTACCAACTATTTCTTCTATAGTTTCAAAGTGCATTTAAACTATTACCACAAAGTTGCAACTTCTTTTTCAACTCTATTTCAATGTTCAACTATGCATATACAGTACTCTAAAAAAGTTTTTATAAAGTTTAATATATTAACTATATCATTTTTCTGTATTTTA